TTGTAGAGTATTACTGCTCTGGGGAAGGTTGCTTTAATTTATATGGTTTTGAAAACGTGGTCATTTAGACAAATATTCTCAGACAAGCATATATGTTCCAATTCAGTTAGAGGAGTTGGAGGTTTAAATGGGAGCTTGCTATTTGTAGCTGCCTCAATTCCTTTCAGAACTAGGAAATTTCTAGTGAAATCAATTGGTAACCTAGTAACTAGAGAAATTAAGATAATGATTTAAATGAGAGGGATCAATTGAAAATGGTCTTATAAATTAGATATGGGAACAATATTAATGAGATATACATGTGTTCTTTTGTTTTGAGGTTAAATTATTGTTTGAGGATATGTATTAATTTTTCCTTAAGGATTGCACTTGTGACTTAGAAGTGCATTGATCAATGAAAGGCGAGTAACTTGTTCATAGTGAGCATAAGAAGAACTAAGTGGATATATGTGTGAATGTATAGATATATATATTTCCGGCTTTCATAAGTTGGATTATGGGCATGAAATTATTTACTTAGTGATTTTTCTGGGTTGCTAAATTAAATGAGATCATGGATTAGAGATTGCAAAAATTATGAGAATGAGATAGTGCCGTTACGAGTAAGTTGCTAGTAAGGATTAATTGTAATGATGAGCAAAGAAATTTTAAATAAAGAGATTGTTATACAAAGGTATCTCATAATGTTAAAATGCGGGAGTGTTGGATCAAGTAATGACAGTATTAACGGGAAAGAGATATAAGTCCTTGAAGGGTGATAATTATAAATAGTGGAAATAAGAAACCCTTGGATAGAAATTGGGAGGAAGAAGGGATAATAATAATAATATTACTGTTTCAAGGATAAACATGGAGAAGGACATAAAGAGAATCATAGGGACTAATGACTATGGTTTGAGGATTAGATAGTTGTAAGTTAGGGAAGGATATTTGCAAACCACTAAAGAATGTCACAAGGATCAGCTAATCAATGAAAGTGAATACACTAGATGAATCCATAAAATATTGGGTAGAACTTAATTGTGGACAAGGGTATTCACATGTTTGGTTTGATTTTAGTTTAGTTTTGAGGAAAAATCAAACCGAACCAAACCAATCAGTTTACTATAATATGGGACTTATTCACTTTTTTCTTCTAATTAGTTTGGTTTAGTTTTTGAGCTATTTGATTTAAGTCTGAATCAAGTTTAAACTTTTTGAATGAAATATTCTTCATAATTATGAATATATATTCATGTTCATTGATAATTTTTAACTTTTAATTTATTATTTGCAAAGACAAACCTCTTGAGTACAAAAAAATATTTTTTCACAATTAATTAGCATATTTAACTATTAAAAATTAATGTATTATCTTTAAAACACTTTATTATAAAATTAAAAAATTATCTTAAACAGTTATAAATAACATTTAGTTAATTGTAACTTATTTTTATTAATGATTTACAAATAATTAAACTTGAAAAGGAGGAAAAACTTTGACAAATTTATAAAAAAATATATAATAAATATAATAAGATTTGGTTCAGTTTGATTCATGTTTTCAAAAGCAAAAACCTGAAACGAACTGAACTAATTGATTTTGTCAAAATAAAAACCAAACCAAACCTTATTTATAATCGATTTTAATCGGTTCATGTCGGTTTAATTTGATGTCATCAATTTAGATTGGTTTTGAATATCTTTAATTGTGGCTGCATGAATAAGATGAGAAAAACCCATTCTGCTGGAATCATGCAGGAGGATCATGACAATTGAAGTACAACAACTGTAAGTCATGGAAAGACAAATGTGAAACACCAGGAGTGTGCTGGAAAGTAGAAAACCTAGTGAAACGGCGATCATTGGGAAAATCCATACACGATTATAAGTAGTGCCAAAGTATGGATGCATTAATAGGATGGAACCACGTTTAATCAAAGTGTGCAGTGGAATAGTGGTGGGCCCATGACCCACACAATTGCGCAATCTAATTGGTAGAACATCAAAGGTTGACACATCTATGATGTGACGGCCGTATTAAGATGCAATATATTAGGAATTTAATATGGATGGAAAGTTAATTGCACTTATAACTAAATTGTTGGATTGATCAATTCTTATGTCTGTAATGAAGTGACCACATAAGGTAAGAATGTTGACACGCCCTCCTAAGGGTCCGGATTCTTTAATTGTTGGATTGACCACTATATAATCAGGAGTGACAGCTCAAGGTCTGTATGCAAGACATGGTGCTTGTTGACAAGAGTTGAGGGTCTATCCAAACAAATAATGTATCAAGGTATAAGCAATTAGAGTGTGAGCTTGCAGGTGAAGGTGTTTTTGATGATGGCACATATTCTAATTTAATATTGGGACCGTAAGAATAGATGCAAAAGGGTGTTACTCATCGAAGGAAGTCAACGGACTTTGAAAGTTCAAATATATAAAAGAGTAGTAAATAAAGTAATATCCGAGAAGACTATTTGAACTAACCTATAAGGAGGTTGATCTATAAACAAATATAGTGGTAAAATTTGAAAAACAAGACAATTCGTGTGGTATAAGTGAGTTAGAAAGGAATGGCTTTCAGTAATGCCACCTGAGAAGCTGAAGAGAAGATGAAATAATAATACCCTCACTTGTTTCGATAGGTATGATTTGGAGTTTATTTGAATTTTGAAGACCAAATTCTTACAAGGAAGAGAGAATTATAAAATCTTGAAAATTAATTCTTTGATTAATTTAGTGAAGGGTAATTAAATAATTTTTAAGTGTAAATGAGTTTGTGGATGGCTTGATTGTTCACAATCTTTGGATCAAGCTCTAAGAGGAAAGAAACATGAGGGAGGGAGATTGACTATCGTTGCCATTTTGTTGAGATCAATTGTCAAGAGTGATTGTGAGGCAGAGGGAGTGACAAGTGAGGCATAACTGACATGGTAACGATTTTCTTCTTTAGAATGCAAAGTTGTGTGTTTTGGATGGGGGAGGTTAAAAAAAAAAAAGGAGAAATTGGGCTTGGAAAGCCACTTAGGATTGAGTCCCTTTCTTCAAGGCTCGTTAGGACCAAGCTCTAAAGTCCAATTTCTTTAAAAATTGCCAATTTCTCAAACTCAAACCCTTAAAAAATTGGCTTAAACAAGTAGCTTTTCAAGCCTTGCCCTTATTTTCAATTCTATCTCCATATACAACTTCATGATCATAGAAAACAAAAACAACCTTGCCAGACAGATCAAGAAGCAATGGTCCAATTGAAAAAAAAATCAAATAAAATCAAAAGCCAGCAAATCTAATCAAATTATCCAAAAGAAAAGAGAGAGAACTTGAAGGAAGGAGGAGCTTTGAGCCTAGATGCTATCGTCGAGGTTGACAATGGCAGCAACATTGATGCAATGCCACTTGAAGTGAGACAGCGAGCATCAAAGGTAGGTCGAGATCAAGATAATGGCAAGATTGAGACACAATAAAGAGAAATGAGTCCACTAACCGCTTGCCAAGATTGATCAACCGTGAGGGAGGACATTGAGAGGAGTGACAACGACGAGAGATTGAGCACCGTTACACCGCGACCTACCATTGCTAAATTCAAGAGGAGTGAGGAGAGGGAGAGGAGAGCACCGTGAGGGAGGGAGATCGATTATCGTTGCCATCTTGCCAAGATCAACTGGCGAGAGTGATTGTGATGGAGAGGGAGCAATGAGTGAGGCATAACCAGTGTGGTGTTAGGGTTTTTCTTCTTCAAAATGTATAGCCATGCGAATGGGATAGGCCAAAACAAAAGGAGAAACTAGGCTTGAAACATGCCAAAGCTTGTTTTTTCCTAGCTTATGATTTTTCTCAAGTCCAAATCCTTATAAAAACAAGCTTAAATTGACATCCCTCTAATCTCAACCCTTGTTATTGGCTTCATTCTCGACCCTAACACAATTCAAGTGTTCAAGCCTATTTAGACTAACCAAAATACCCAAATTATTAACAAACTTTTATTTCTTTTTATTCTTTAAAAGCTAACTTCAATTATTACTTTCAAAAATTAAGATTTTTCAAACAACATAACATTGCAACACAAAAAATGAACAAGATGGATAATGGAAATACTATCAACATGAACAACAGATTTTGGGAGTTGGTTCACCGACAAAGGGAAAATCCTTTGGAGTTGATATATAATACAAATAATGAGATAATAACGCCAAAGGCGTTAAGGGATTGAGAAAGAATCAGGGGAGCCGGAAGTTGGAAGACTTACGGAAGGGATTTAACATGCATTTAAAAAAGAAAGAAAGAAAGAAAGTGCAGGTATTCGGACCTATTCAACTTAGCTCAAATAAGCTTTGATTACAAGGGAAAAAAACAACGATTTCCCAAACCTTAACTCTAAATTTTTTTCAAATTTATTCAAGCTAGCCCAAGTCACTGAATCTGTAATCCAAACTCAACAAAGAACCTTTCAAAACTGCATTAAGTAGCGCTTGATTATCGGATTCAATTTCAATATACAAACCAAGATACCTCTCCATATAGCCATACTTTCAATCTCAATCACTACTAGCACTTGAAAAGCCATTCCAATTTCCAATCCAACAATCACCCACATGGTTCCTTAAAATGATCCCCACACCAGCCCTGCCATTATCACTTAATCATTCATCCAAAACTTTAACAACGCCATTAGGAGGGGCCTTCCAACCCTCATCAGTCACCAGATGTACAGTCCAAAATTCATAAATCATAAAAGTGGCACTATCAAGACTAAGACCGGGGTCAGCAGTAATACAATCAAAGATATTTGAGTTCTGGGCTTTCGAAACTTGCCAGGTAAATTTTCAATTTTCATAAGGAAAAACTTAGGGAAAAAGAGCCAATTATATGATTTTCACGACAATTTTCAATTGTTATACCAAGTATGAAAATCTTAGGCACTATCTTGTCTCAACTTTGACATCCTATACCATAAAATCAGCTTTACATTTGAACACCTATGCAAGAAAGGGTTATTAGAGAGAATACTTCATACATGAAATAACTGAGCACCCCCACCAAATTGATAATCACATTAATGTCAAGGTTAACAAAATTCCCTCCTCTCAGAAACAAGATGGCTTTAAGGCAGTGATTGCTTAATGACTAGGGAGAATGACATAATCAGCTTTACATTTGAACACCAATGCAAAAATAAACAGGGTTATAAGAGAGAATACTTCATACATGAAATAATTGAGCACCCCCACCAAATTGATAATCACATTAATGTCAAGGTTAACAAAATTCCCTCCTCTCAGAAACAAGATGGCTTTAAGCCAGGGATTACTTAATAATCAGGGAGAATGACATAGAGGTCCCAAAAGGACCAATTAATCCAAGTTAGGTCCCAAAATTTAAATTTTAAGAATTTATAACTCAATCTCCCAATTTTACAACTGTATTGTGATAAATTTGCAACTTGTATTCTAAATTTTAATAAGAAAAATAATTTTTTTTATTTTTCAACCATTTAAAATTTGAAAAACAAATTGTAAATTCATCATAATGCAGTTACAAAATTGAGAGATTGAATCGCAAACTTCTAGATTTTAACACTTGAGACCTAACTAGAATTAATTAATCCTTTTGGAACCTCTGTCATTCTCCCTAATAATTATTTGCTCGATACTCTGTGTCTCGTACTGTTCGCATGAAATTACCAAAGGAGGGAAGGAAAGAAGATACCACTAACGCAATCTCCTAGACTGAGGTAACCGAGTCTTCATCGCTGCCTTCACTGTCACTGCTGCTGCTGCTGCTCCCACTCCCGCTCCCACTACTTCCACTTCCACTACTACTAGTAGAACTAGAAGACTGTTCATCCCTTCCCTCAGCATTCACCTGGGCTCTGAGAGCTTCTGCAGCATTGGGTCCTTTATCAACCTCATCTCCACTATCATCCACATCAGCAATCTCATCATCCGTGTCATTTTGACGAGGAAGGTTCATGTCAAATCCAACATTATCTTTTTCTTCAACAGCATTGTCCTCCTCGGGCATTCCACTACCAAAAAGATCATCAATATCTATATCTTGATGTTCCTCAACTTCATTTTTAGATCCTGGTGAGGTGGTACCAACAGTAGGAGGTTCATTTGGGTTATCAGCTAACACCTTCGCACTGGATTTGACACCTGCCATATAAAACATTGAAATTGGTCTGAGAAAAATCGCCAAAGGGTAAAACTCCTGTGCAGTGCTTCATCTTACCAAAATTTATAGCACATTGCATTCTAGAAGACAGAAATAGGACAATAAATGACCAAAATATTGTACCAATAGAGACTATCCATCTAGCAATTCATGACACTTTTTTCATTTAAAAAAACAGAGAGATAGGTGGGAAGTGCCCAGACTAAGCAGGATACAAAAACAAAAAAGCAGAAAAGAGCGACAGATATATATTATAAGTTATAACACATGCCAGCTGACGGAAGGTATGTTGCAACTACAAATGTGATGTTTGCAAAGTTATTTTCATTCAAAATCTTTAGTTGCTAGGCAATTAAAAATTAGCACCGGGGACGGATTTAGGGTGGGAATCCCTCACCTATCTTCTTCCTAGTCTATATGAAGAGGACACTTGAAACCAGGATATAAACATTCGACTACTGAGTTTTGATCCCCCAAAGTTATTTGAAGAAGGAAATTTTGCAACCCCAAGAAATATATTTCCTGTTCCGTCTCTCATTACTACTCATTTGTTGTCAATTGGAAGGATCAAATCATAAAAGGGAGGGAACACTAGCAACAAGTAATGGCAATCATAATTTAGAGGTTACAAATAAAATTATGGCAGAAATGAAGCATAATAATAATTCAAAAGGCTTAAAGTCATAACATAGCAAATGTTCAACAACATTGTTCTTTTGCATATTGAAGATCAAACAGGCAATTGCAGCAAATAGCAGAGATAATGACAACACTAATAAAATCATCAGGTTGGAGAGAATACATAGAAAAGTATATTATAAAAGCAATGAATAATATAATACAAAGCTCCTCCCAGAGTAAAGCACATCAACAGATTGTATCTGGCAGTATTAAATCATGACAATGAAAATCAACTACTAAGTTCAAGAACATACATCCTGCCCTAAACCTAAGTAAAAGGTTATCATTAAGGTAATGAAATTGAAATTGAAAAATACCATAACTAAATAATGTAGTATGAGACTCGTCTAAGTTTCTCAGGAGAACTAACTATGATTCATAAAATTCAAGATAGGTAGTTAAAAAACCTCAGAATATTATACATACCAGTATTCTCTGGTTCACCAATATCAATACGTTCCACCTCAACCTGCGCATAATCAAGGCCAACATCATTTAAGGCATTGGAAGGGGATAAACTCTTTGCTTTCCTTTTACAGTCACAAAATGATGACCAACACCAGGATCAAAATCCAAATAACACATGGGGGGGGGACTATTTGATTTCCTTTGATGGTCACAAAGTAATGGCCAAGATCAACATCAAAATCCAAATAACACGTTCAGAAAGATATTCAAAGGGTTATGCTTCACTAAAATATCCAACTAACACATGGAAAAAAAAGGAGGACAAATTATTCTCTTTCCTTTTACAGTCACAAAGTGATGACAAAGACCAATATCAAAACCCAAATAACACCTACGGAAAGAGATCAAATTGTGTTTATGCTTCACTAAAACAACGAGGCAGATCTCAGAATATCCCTTTATGTATTGTAATAATAGCCAAATCTTCAACAACAACAACAACAACAACAACAACAACAACAATAAGCCTTTATCCCACTAGGTGGGGTCGGCTAGTAGCCAAATCTTCATCATCAAAACATAAATGTGCACCGGTATCCAGGTTACTTAATTGACATATATATCAATTGTTAGATTGAAGTAACATTCAAAACAGCAAAGCCCTTTATGTATCGTAATAATAGCCAAATATATTATGTAATGGAAAGTCTCCCCCATCATTTTTTTTTTCCATGATTCATGGGATTGAACTGAAGAAATGAAACACTGATTAAAAAAACAAAAACATTTATGCTAGATGGTTAGTGAGAGCTTACTGTCTGAAACGAGCTTCTGCCTGAAGTTGGGGGCTTTGTAGCCTTCCCAATAGGAGATGACCGAATATCCAAAGCTGGTCCAGATGGAGCAGCAACAGCTCCTGCTGCGGCAGCAGCTGCAGATTCGCCAGGCAAGCGAAGATGCCGCAGCTGCTTTACAGCTCTATGAAGCCGCTCCAATCGGAATGTCTCACCATCAAAGAACAATACAGCATCATTTTCCTTGTATTCCTCGCTACTCCCCTCAAATGTCACTTTAGGTTTTCCAATTTGGTTGTTCTGAAATTCCACAGAGACCCTATTTTCCTTGGTCTTGCGAAGTAATCCTGGCTTAGTCTTATCAACGGAAGCTGGTTTAAATTCATCTACACAGCACAAAGTTCAGAACTTTCTAAGGCTAAACCCCGAAATATAGGATAAATAAAACCAATAAAAACGGCAAAATCCTTAAAATAAAAAAAGCGAAATCAAACATAAACCTTCCTGTTTGGCTGCTATAAACTAATAAGTAGGGAAAAAAGGATCAGATTTTTCTGTACAACTACTTACAACGAAGAGTGCAATATTTGTTGGAAGATTCATCTTTGAAGGAAGGACCAAGCGTAAGATTGTACCAGCGATCGGACTGGGGAGCAGTTCTGGGCTCTTCTTTGGAGTTGTTGGCCATGGCGGAGACAGAAAGTTGGGGAGCAGAAGGAAAGAAAAATTCGCCAAGAAGGGTAACTCTAATTACATTGCGGAGGATTGGTAGTACTGAAGTCAGTTCAGCACACCAGAAGATCTGGCTTGCGAGGCAGGGTCCTGAAAGAAAATTTAAAAAAAATAAAATAAAATAACATGAAAACAACTTTTCAGCTAACCATCAATTAAAAAAATTCGAAATTGCAACAATAGTTCAACAACACCGAAAATTCTAACAGTCTGATAAGAACAACAAATACCATTAAGCACCAACAACTAACTTACTTGTTAAAGAAAAAATTTAATTAAAAAAAAAGTTAGCAAGATTATTTGCGAGATAGGATTCAAAGGAATAAGACGACGATCTGGAGCAAGAAAATTAACAGGCGACTACTGGGAGAGAAAATCTGGAGGTTTGAGCAAGAGGCGGCAAAAGCATATCACAAACTCACGATTATTGAAGAGGGAGAGGCCATGGCGAAGAAGAGCACCTTCAGAAGCTTCAGTCTTCAGATCAGATTGCCGAGGGCCGCCTGGGTGAGGGAGACGAGGGTCGAGTCGAGGGTTTTCTTTCCACTTTCAGCTTCAGATCGCGCGGACCTCTGCTCCTCGACCGTGTAATTTTTTGTTTTGTGGCTTCCTTCTTTCCAGCGTCACACAAAACACCCTATATTGGCTCCTTTTTTTTTAAAAAAAAAATACTAATTTACAGGTTCTTTAATTTTTTAAATTTTAAATTAAGTTTCTAAGTTTATTTTGTTTTAATTAATTTATAGGAGCTAAAATTCTCAAATCTTTTTAAAAATAAAATTTAAAAATTTTCTATTTTTTGTTAAAACTAGTAATAATTGTCCCGGTAACGTACGGGATTTATGGGGTGTGTGAAAGTAATTTTTTAATGAGTCATATATAATCAATTATTATTAACGTGTGAAATGACAAAACATGGTTTAATAATTTTTAAGAACTAATTAGACCGCGTCAACTCCATATGAAAGGATGTAGAAAATGAAATTGTGCAGATTAACCCCTTCTTGAGAGAAGGTATAGAGAAAATTTGCAAGAAATTGTTTATGCCTTCCGAATATGATGATTATTGTAGATTAAAATAAGACAATGCAGTCAAATTATGTTATCATTCCATCACCCCACAAAACATGTTTTTAAAACTCATTCTTACTCAGACTCTCACTCTCACTCCTATTCCTTTAAAATTCATTCCGCATACCAATTATGGATTTAAATAATTTTATATGTGCTCTTTCAATATAAAAGAATATCGTAATTCTCATAAACTCCTTGGGTCATTGTTTTGAAAATCGAACTGGATGATCCAACCACCACCCGCTAATCAAAACGTTTGGTTCAACCAATTGAATTAATCTAGCATTTGAATCAGGTTGGCCTAGTTGGTTTTGAGAGAGCTAAAGTTGACCCAAAAATTGAAGTTAGTCAACCCAATTCAAAGCCAAAAAAATTTTTAAAAACAAGAAGAAATTTAAGCTAAGTTGTTTAGATTCATGTTTTTCCTTTTCTAATCTTTAGTTCTCATCTGTCTTCTCTTATCTCATCTCTAATCTCTCCTCTACAGTCCAGACTCAATATTTGACCTCTCATCCAGCCTCTGCCTCCAACTCTAACGATCCAGCCTTTTGCATTAAAATCGAAAGCTCGTGAGTCATGACATGATGGCATGTCTCCAATTCTAACATCTTGCTTTGAGATCACGAGTTCATGCTGATATGCCTTTACCTATCCAGGCATTTAGCATTTGGCATTAAGATCTCGAGCACTATTGACAAATCGATATTTTATTTATATATCTGTATATAAATATTATTTTTATTTAATTTGTATATCATCGGTTCGATTGCTAGTCTAATCAGTCAAATCATAAAAATCAGACCCGTTGCTTTCTTTAGTTCAGGTTTCAAAAAATTACTTTGAACTCTACTCACTTAATTTTTTTAATAAAAAAATTCAATAAGTTTGGCATGGTCCTTGTTATTATCTATCAAGGTGACGTTTTAAATAAATCCAAAAAAATAAAGTATTTTTCTTTTAGAAGAGGAAAAATTAATTATATGCAAACATAACAAATCTAGAGGCTCCTTTGCAGCAAGGTCATGCAAAAAGAATTGACGAGGTCATAAAGGGGAAAACATAAAATATATCAAAAAGAAATAGTCTAAATGGCTAGTAGAGACTTGAAGTAGTTCCAATGCGATAGAGAATGGGGCTTAATGACCAGATCACACAAACAAGAAAACATAAAAATGAGGAGTAAATGTAATTTAGATCATAAATTATAGGCCTAAGGACAATTAGAACTCTAAACTTATATTTGATATATTTTTAATTATAAACAATTAAACTTGTGACAATTTCCCCTACTATTAGTGTGGGATGAATGTCTATTACAATTAAAACTTGTGATCTAATTCATATTAATGGTAGGGAAAATTGCCACAAGTTTAATTATTCATAAGTTAAAATATATTAAATAATAATTTAGAGTTTAAATTGCTCTTGATTTTATAATTCAAGGTCTATATATAGATATATATATTATTTAACCCTAAAAATAAACTTGGACAACTTGATTCATACGGCCATACAAGGTTCGCACGGGGAAATTAATTTTCTGAACAGAGGTGAGAACTTTAAAAATTAAAATAGGGCTTAGATTTTTTTTTTTTTTGGATCACATCGTGCTCTCTATATTAATTTTTATACGACAATTTTTGTACATTTTTAATTTTCCTATTCATAAGAGAATTTGTAAAGTCTAAGTAGTAACTAATAGGTTTTTTTTGTCTTACTAAAAAGACAATTATATTAATAAATAAAAAGAAAAGCCAACTACAAGATTAATGTTAAAAATAGAATTAAAAAAATTACTATGAAAAGTAAAGGTAGAAAAAACAGAATTATCATGACTACACTTTTGAATTCTACAGCTATTAAAGTCTTCTAAAAGTCTAAGAACATCCTGATCAAAGAGGTGATTTCATGCTGAGCAGAAGCAAATTCCCTTATTGTATCACACATGTAAGATTCCCAGATTTGATCAATCATGAGAGAGACTTTGAGCAAAGTTTGAATCTAGAGCAAAAGATCCTGAAAGCAGGAAGTCAATAATAGTTGGGGAGATATTGTCTCACCATATCTATAAAAAATCACTTCAACACAATATTTAAAAGATAAAAGGAGTGCATAGATGAAGAGTAAAATCAAAAAATAGTCACAAAAGATGTGATTGAGAGACTCATGAAAGTTGCAACCAAAGACACAATATTATCTCATAGACTAGTTTCTGATTGAAGAGAAGGGTCTCAAATGGTAGGTGGAGCTTTCAAATGAAGTTCTAAATGCCTTCTATAGATAGAGCACTAATTCAAGTTGAGATAGATACTCTTTGAAAGCCTTCTTTGACAAGGTAAATGCTATGTTTTCATGTAAGGGAGTCTTTCAATTTAGTAAAAGAAATAAAGTTTTCAAGATCAAATTAACAATGTCCCTAGTTTAAAGGTTGTGAACAAGAGAAGAATTTCACTTAGCAGCTATCTAAGGGGTGGGTTGGCAATGATTAAATCAGAGACCTTGGAGGTACATAGTTCATTAGCTAGGTTCCTATTAATAATCTTCCACCAACACCCATGAGAGGGAAACAGATTCTCCACTGACAACAGGCCAAGATAATTGCTTCCTGACACACCAAAAGCTTTGAACATATCCTTTCAAAATCAAGAGACATTGTGAGGAATTTTGAACAATAACTCTTTAAAATTCTAAAAATATTTGATTTTGACTGTGTTGCTTAGAAGGAAATGCTCCTCGTCATTAAGCACTCTTTAGTCTTCAGGTCAGATTTTGGTTCCTCATTCTCCTCTTCACGTTGTCCAAGCGCTCGAGAAACATCAAAGACAATTTCATTCCTCCAAATGGTCCCACCTGAATCACTTGATAAAGCTGGTCAAAAAAAAAAAAAAAAAAGGAATCACTTCATAAAAAGGAGGTGCTGGACCAATACTTTTTCTTTTAAATGCCCCTGAAAGAGAGTGCTTTTAGTTAATTAAAAAAGAGAGTACATCAGAGAAAATAGAATATTTAATGATGAAGGGCATTTACGAGAAGAGGAGATAAATACGTAAAACAGGTAATTTAGTCTTAAAAAAATGAACCAAAAGAATATTAAATTAAAATCATATCCATACCGTTCCAACTCCAACGTTATCCTTGGTTTTGCAAACGTAATCCAATTTTAGTGTAAATTTTTATGCTTTCAGCATTTTTTTAATCAATCCGTTGTTTCTGAGTTCCACATATACATTAAAAATATAATTCATAGTTCATAATTTTAATTTTTTTTTGTGGGATCAAGAATATCCCCAGCCTATAATAGAGGCTAATCTCACCAAGGTCGACCCAGCTAAGTTTGCTGACCTTGTTATATTACTTTGATTGACAATTATGTCCAACTACAAATAAGAGTGTAATTAAAAATATGAATAATGCAATTTTTAAACATTTAAATTTGAACAAGGGTTAATAAGTATCTTAAATCCTAAACTATTGTGCAAATAGAATAGCATTTTAGATCCTAAACTCTTGAAATGAGCAAAACTCCCTTTAACTTTTAAACCTCATCATTAAGTTAGAAAAAACATTTATTACTTTTATAATTTTGGAGCTTACTCGCACGTTGATATGACACTCCTCTTGACATTTAGAAATAACTTGTTTTTTCTAACTTAATAAAAGGGTTTTAGGTGCTCAAAATTTAAAAATTAAGGGTTTTTTTTATGTTTTAAGGATTTAGGATTTAGAATGTTATTTACATAATAATGTAGGATTTATAATACTCATTAACTCTTTAAACAGTAAAGATTAAATTAATAATTAAAATAAATTTAAGGGACTAATTAAATTAATAAAAATTAAATTTAAAAAATAAATTAATAATTGAAATAAATTTAAAGGATTAAAAATTTTATCATCTTTTAAAAATAATTAATAGCAATACTACTTTAAGACAATACTGCAAAACTTGGCTAGCATATCTAGGGATTCAGATCCTCCCAAAAGTAAAATTCTCAACGTCCCTCGGTATCTCAAAATCCTAACCATTTAAAAAATCAAAAGGCCCATAAAGCAAAACGTCAAATGCATGTCTTTCAAAAAGGCACCAAAAGCTTTCGTTTTACTTTAATCATGTAGTTGTCCACTATTTTTGATTGCTTTAACCAATATTATAGAAAAGGCTAAATAAGACATCACATGCTCCTTGTTTTTTTTGTGAAAAATAACAAATATGGATCAAAGTTACAGGGCCGACTTTCAAAGTCAATACAGTTACAAAGGCGAACAAAGAGAAGAATGAGACTGATGAAGGTGAAGTAACAGATTAAGGAGGTTGATGGTGAGGATATTGCTGATTTAGATGGAGATCGAAAAAGATAAACTCTATGGGTTCATTGATGTTGTTGTTTAAATTGATTGGGTGCATCATGTTATTTATAGTTTGTCTAGTTAAAATGCTTCAAATAATCTAAATCAAATCTTGTGTGACATTTTTTTAATTGATTTCATTTTTATAACATAATGCACATTTAATTTCTTACATTGTTTCTTTCTAGTATTGTT